TTCCATGAAAATCCATCATAATTTTTTTCCAAAAAAAATAACTAAAATGAAGTCTCAGTCAGTTCAGAATTCACTGAATTGTAAGAATGAAAAACCTCTATGAGAGCCTAGAAATGCACGTGGCTAACTGAATATGGTAAACCAAGATGCTGGTCTTCCCAGCCTATGTTAATAAATAAATAAAAAAAATGTTGGATACCATATTCTCACTTGATCAGTTTCCAAACATTCAGCATTGTTATTTATGGAACACTGGGCCATGTACTGAGAAATAACTGTGTGACCAACATTTTTGCAAATCATGTTTTGATGAGAACTTTCTCCAACAAATACTTTTCCCATTATGAAACATTTTGAAGTTTGCTCAGATAAGCCGTAATTATGGGAGACTTCGCAATCATGCAGGCAAATGTAGTGTGAGCCACCCTGGCCTTGGATCACAGTCACAGGAGAATTCAGCAATGTCCTGAAGCAAAGAGGTCCAACACCCACTAACATGGAGCCAATAGAATTGTACTGACCAGTAGGCTTCAACAGAAGTAAAGTTAGTTTGCTCACAATTTTAACTAATTTGTTTTTTATGTAGTTTTTTATCTACATTTTTATTTAAACTATAGTATTTATCTGAAAACAGAATTATTTGTTAGTTTAGTAAGAGAGACATTAGATATTTTTCTACTGGAATACAAAGTTGGGGCTCATTTTATGATGTGGAATTTCACTGTGTATGTTGTGAATATATTTTATGACTGTTGGCTAATAAAGAATCTTCTTTGGGCTTATAACAGGGGACATATAGCCAGGTGGGAAAATCTGATATATAGAGAGAGAGTAGGCAGAGTCAGACAGACACCTTGTAGCCAGCTGAAGGAGACAGGGACCAGGGAATCTTACCGGTAAACCATGAGCCTCGTGGTAAAATATAAAATAATTGGAAAGGGTTAGTTTAAGATGTAAGAGTTAATTAATGAGAAGTCAGAACTAAGAGGCCAAACAGTATTGTAATTAATATAGTTTCTGTGTGTTTATTTTGGATCTGGGCGGCGGGGAAATGAATGAGCAGCCTCCATCTGCAATTTTACATTGCTATTTGATGTAAACTCTTCATGTTCACGAAATGTACTTTCAAGTGTCTCTCTATACTAGGTACCAGTGATGTCAGTAGAGATGGCCATATTACCTAGGAATTTGCTTTCTCTCTAATGTTTACAGTATTTTATTCTAGTGTTGGTCAGGCAAGAGACAGCCAAGGATCCCAATAGAATTTGTACATTTGCTGATATTTTCTTTGAGCTGTTTTGAAAAAAAAAATAACTATAGCAAGTGAATATCTATTTCTGATCTAATAATGATAGATTAATAAATCCTTCCTTAGATCCCTCTCTCTCCTCCCCTAGTGCTCTTAAGTGGTGTGAAGTCTGTAATAAGAGGCTGTAGACATGGCGGAGGCCTCAGAAACAATGGAAATAGTGTGAGATGCTGCCTTATAAAACAACCATTTGTTTTATAAGTAATGAGTAAATATAACCATTTCTGACTCCATCATCAAGGGTTTGGCACTGTGACCTTTTTTTGGCAGGTTGTACACGGTGAGTTTACAGGCTCAGTGTGGTTGAAGGCCATAGAAACTTGGGCTGATGCAGAGAATAGTGGGCAAGGGCAGAAGGGGTCAAGTAATCATCTTGGAACATTTAACTCAGAATGGAAATGGTGCTAACATTGGTCAGATAATGACTATGACCTTTTGAGTCCTCTGTAGGTCACTTGAATGCTCTAATAAGCACTAAGATGTGCTGGGTGGTTACAGTGACCAGTGATTAAGGAAGCATTTTTAGAGTACAGAGGTTTTTATATATACTTACTGATGATGGATCCTTTAAAAACAATCATAAAGCAGTTATGAGGCTTCCAGAAAAAGAAAATAACAATCTTCAGGACTTGTTCTTCCAAGGTTGCTCTAATAGTTGTCTTCCCTTCCCCAGCTCCTGCTTAAGGAGATTGGAAACATCTTTTCTTCTGTGGTTGTTTTAGTTAGGGCTGTGAAGAGGCATCATGACCATGGCAACTCTTATAAATAAAGCATTTTATTGAGATTGCTTGCTTATACTATCAGAGTTTTAGTCCGTTATCATCAGGATGGAGAGCATGGCGGCATATCACATCAACATCACAAGATAAGATGCTGTGGCATTGGAACTGAGAGTACTACATCTTGACTCTCAGGCAACAGGAAGTCGACTGAGTGTCACAGACTGAAGCTTGACCTCAAAGCCTGTGCCCACAGTGACACACTTCCTCCAACAAGGTTTTACCTCCTATAGGGCTACACTCTCTGGAGGCCTTTTCTTTTCAACCAACACAATCCTACTCCCTGGAACCCAAGGGCTTATAACCATATCACAATACAAAAATTTCATTCAATGCAACTTCAAAAGTCCCTGTCTCAACTTATTTCAAAGCCTTTTCTGAGATACATGATAATCTCTTAACTGAAATCACCTGTAAAAAAAAATAAAAATAAAACAACAGATCACAGTCTTCCAACATGTAATATAACAGGATACACTTGACCATTCCAAAACTCAAGGAAGGGAACAGAGAGCAAGGAAATACTGGACCACAGCAAGAATGAAAACCAGCTGGACAAACTCCAAACTTTGCATCTCCACATCTGATGTCAAAACACTCTTCAAATCTTCAATTCTGTTCAGATTTGTTTGTTGCAACACACTTATTTCTCCTGGGCTGGCTCCCCGTTAGCAGCTCTTCTCAGCAGGTCTCCCACAGCTCTGTCATCTCTAACATCTCAGGGTTTCCAAGACAATCCAGGTCTAAATTCAGAGCTCCATGCAATGGCAATGCTTCTCCACTAGGCCTGAATTCAGGGTCATTGCTGACACATGCCTGGCCTTAGTGGCTTTCTTTAGGCACTGAGGCAATTTCCATAGCCCATTTCTTCTATCCTTAACTCTAAAGCCAGAAGCACATAGCCAAAGCTGCCACATTCTGCTGCTTGCTGCGGCTGGGACATGACTCCCTTGTTTAGTTACATCTTCATCAGCTTTCTGTTTTCCTTCAATGTCTAAGCTTGGCTGTCCTTGAACTTGCTTTGTGGACAAGGCTGGCCTCAATCTCAGAGACCTCCCAGCCTCTGCCTTCACAGTGCTGGGATTAAAGGTGTGCCCCACCACACCAGGCTCTAACTTTTTTCTTTAGTTCCCTTTCACAGGTTGGAAATTTACCTAGGTAGGATCTTGCCCGGAAGTCACCATTCCCTTTATTCCATGTCTTAATCTGTTTAACTCCCTGAACACATAATTTAGATTTATTCCACTTTCTGGTCCTCTTTTTCTCCTAAAAATTTACTTTTTGTAATTTACCCTGCTCATCTTGCCCTTTTTAATTATAAATCTTCATTACAGTTACCACTAATATCCACACGGCAGAGTCTATACTAGGCTATTTGGAGATTTCTTTTGCCAACAGAATTAACTCTTCACTTTATCCCCAGGCAGACTCTTTGGACGAGAGCAAAAGGCAGCCACTTCCTTCACCAAAATATCACAGCTATGATTCCTAGGCAATATTCTAAAATTCTTCTCTGAAACCTCTTGTGCCAGCTCCCAACATTTCAACTCGTTATCAGCACAATTGTTGTTCATTCTACTACTAGTATGACTGCATTAAGTAGTGCTTAACTCACGCTACTGTTTTCTCAACTTAAAGTACATCTTACTCTAAACAAAAGCATGGTCCGGTCTATCCACAGCAATACCAAAGTCCCTGGTACCAACTTCTGTCTTAGGGTTTTTATGGCTGTACAGAGACACCAAGGTCCATGGAAACTCATATAAATAAAACCATTTAATTGGGGTGGCTCTCTTACAGTTTCAGCGTTCAGTCCATTATCATCAGGATGAGGAGCATGGCAGCGTGCTTGCAGAGGTGGCGCTGGATCTGAGAGTCCTACATCTTGATTCAGAGGTAACAGAAAGTTGACTGTCCCACCGAATGAAGCTTGAGAAAAGAGACCTCCAAGTCTGCCCCTACAGAGAAACACTCTTCCAACAAGGCCACACCTTCTAATAATGCTATTCCTTTTGGAAGCCATTTTCTTTCAAACCACGACAGCAGTCTCATTTGAATCGTTGGCAATTGTAACAAGCTTCACTTAAAAGTTTATGAGGCTCGAGTCCTCTTATTTAGCCCCTGGCCCCCTCTGATATGTATTCATGTTAGGAACAATGAAGACAACAGAATTTGACTTTCAGATGATGGGACGAACAGCTGAGGCCTGGGCCGGAGTCTTCCTCATTGAGAGAACACACAGTAGCCCTGGAAGCTATGCCAGTTTGGAACCAGGTTCCAAAGGGTATGTTCTCCAAAGGGTATGGAGGGTTCCTTCATAGAGACCAAATGTATATGGAGATTCAGATGTATGATTCAGGTAGAGAGGTACCATTCATTAACAGGTGCATAACATCCCCAGGTATGGTCTGGGACTTTAACTTTCCTCCAAACCTTTCATTCCTGTTTACGGTCTTTCCCCAGAAAGTGCCTTTTGCTTTTTAGTTTACTTACATTCTACTTAAGTTAAAAGAACCGTTAAAACATGCAATGTAACTCTGTGCTAGCTATGGCCCACGTCTTCTGTTTATATAACAAGTCACTGAATAACCCTGGCTGGGAAAGGCGGGCCCTGCCCTTTTTTTCAGGTAAGGCTAGAGAAGCATAGAGAAGTAAAGACATTAACTCTGGGTCATAGCCATGGTCAGGAAATGACTGAGTTGAAATTTAACCACCAGTTTAACTAAGACAAATCTGTGCTTTTAGTTTTCACTGTTTCCTCACTGATATACCAAACCAAAATAAACTGTATGAGCTGCCCAGAGAAGGTGCTCCTCAAACCTTACCTATTCTTGTGTTAGAATATTGATGTGAATGTTTTCTTTGAGAAAGGCAGAGTACATTATTGCTCAAGGGTAAAGGCTGTGGGCTCAGGGATTTCCTAATCTGCATTTAATATCATACCATCCACATACCCAGAAGATTCTAGATCACACCACAGAGACCCTGGTTCATTCATGTTTATTCCTTCTGTGTTTACAGAAATCAAGAAGTCAAACCAGCTCAGACGTCTATCAAGATGAATTGGCAATGATGAATGATAAATAGAAGGTGGGTGGAGGTCAGGGAATGAACAAGAAAGGGGACCGTGAGAACGGAAAAAAGAGGCTTGAAAGATTGGAAGTGGGAGTCATAGACATAGTCATAGACCTGAGACACGAATACAGAAAGGAGAACACTGGAGTACTGTGAACATAGCATACAAGCAGGTGTGGGAGACGGGAGAGGAGAAGGGGAGGAGGCTCAGCTGAAAGAAAGCGTGCATGAAAAAAGCCATAATTAAACTTCCTGCCTCATATATTAACAAAAAAAATCGAAAGAAACCCTGTTCTCTCTCGCTAGCAATGTGCCAGTGAACTAGCTGTAGCCCCTCACTGACCTTTGTTGCCTGGACTGGAACATGTGAAACTGAGAGCAGCCATCAGAAAGATGCTTATGATTGGATGAGACATCACAGAAAGACATCATCTTCCCAGTTCTGTGGACATGGGGACACTTGCTGCATTCTGCTGGTAGGGTTTGGGAGCCTATATGGCATGATTTAATCCCTGGAACTACATGGGAGAACATAGTAGGCACTTAGTAAATATTTAACAAACGACTCAGGGGAACTGCGAACTAATTAATCAGCACGAGTTTGATTTGCCTCCGGCATGACTGGGGGCCAGAGATGTTGTATAATGTTTTCCTGTCCCCTGAAAGATGCAGGATGACTCAGCAAGGCTTCATTCTGGCACCTGACCGTGACATGCTAAGCTGCTTGGGCACTGTCTGACTCTGACAGGATTCCAAGTCTGACACATTTTATGATTTCTGGATCCTGACAAACACAAGCCAGGACAGTCCCAGGGTGCTGAGAGCCATTGCAAAGTCGTCATAACTAGAGGAAAATGTGCTTTATGAAGTTATTAAAACTACTCATTGAAAGTAACATGACAATCCAATGATCAGAATTTGCTAAATGACCGCTCGTACTTTTAAAAAGTTGAGTCTATAAAAAAAGACTGAGTAAAGAGTGCTGCTCTGTTGATGTGTCAGAGGGTCAGAGAGCGCATTTGAAGTTAGAAGAAAAGGGGTTGAATGAAGCTTCTATGTTTTATGTACCTGATTTTAGATTTTATTAAATACATTAGGGTGTTCTATTTATTCTATCAGTCATCTAATAACTATTTTCTCCTGCATACTAGGGGCTAGGTCTTGTTCCAGAAGTTGCAAACACACTATGTTTGATACAAAACATATCAACTTCACAGCAACTAGCCGGGACGTGCCATAGACTCTTTATAACAGAACAGCATTACTTTGATATAATAGGAGTTTTCTGAAAATCCAAGGAATTAGAATTTCCATCAGTCCGGTGTAAAGCCTGACACAGGCAAACTTTATAGATAAAAAGAATTAATGCTTGGGTCACTATCGAGTGATAAGACATCATGAACCCAGGCAACCTGTAGAGGTATAAGTTTATTGGGGTTTATAGTTTTTGAGGGCGAGTCCATGATCATCACGGCAGGGACTATGGCAACAGCCAGGTAAGCAGGTACAACACTGGAACTTACATCATTCTAATCTTATAGGGACCATTGCCATCCAAATAACCACAGTGGATGCGGGTCGATCTAGGAGGAGCTGGGGAAAGGGATAAATATGATCAAAGTACATCGCAAAAAAATTCTAAATGATTTGTTCTGAAGAAACTGTAATGAGTCTTCTCTTATGATGATGGAACTGGTCTTTATTATGAAAGGAGATTTCATGAAGATGTAAACTATTCGGAGAGTTAAGTGGGAAGAGTTTGGCTAGGAATAAAGAAGTGTAGAGAATTTCAGAGGGTGAGTCCTACTAACAGCTTGTGTGTGTATTGGGGGAAGTTATTGAAAATGTTAGCTTAGAGGAACTAGCTGTCTTTAGTCATGCCAGGTTTTACTGTCATGTTTCCCAAGGTATTATGACTGACTCGCGCCATAAAAGTTTTTTAAATGACACATGGCATGTTTAGCAGTGTTATTAGCTAATTAAAGGATTTCAAATCATGGAACTTTGGGTTCTTGAATTTGTGTATCGATTTCACAGTATGCTACATTAAATATGATTTTTGACTGTCTCCCAGAGATCTGTGTGCTAAAAGCTCTCTCCCAAGAGTGGAACCCTTAAGAGAGGAAGCAGTCTGAGGGAGGTCTTTGAGCTGTTGTGGAGCACGCTCTCTCTGAAGAGAGATAAAGGTAGCCCATGGGTGAACTCTTGTGGCTGTCCCATGCCTGCAAGCGGTTAGCATGGAGCAACCTGGCTTTCCTGTCACTCCTTTCTAGTTCAAATGTGTGGCTTCTCCCACACGCACTCCCATCTGCCGAGGTGCCCTCTTTAGAGCCTTCGTGGTGAAGTTCAGATGCAGAGCGTCCCAGACAATAACTGTGGGGATCTGAATGAGAATGGCATCCATAAGCTCATATATTTGAAGACTTGGTCCCCAGCTACTGAAATTCTTTGGAAGACTTTGAGGTTTTCGAAAGCCCTCTCCATGTCTACTTAGCTCTTGGCCGCATACTTGTGGATAAAATGCGAACTCTCAGCTAGTGCCCTGGCACCATGCCCACGTTTTCAGATTAAAAAACAAAAATGACTTTCCTCCTTCGAAAAAATGCTCCTTTCCTCATGAATATTCATGTGTGAAAATGATACTCTTGGTTTGCAAACCTTTAACTGTGGAATTCCCTAGCAGGATTTCTGTAAAATTATTGGTTCCCCCAAACACACATTTGGAAGAAAATGTTTGCCAAGATGATTCTATAATTTATTTGCCATGCATAGAAGAATTACAGTCAGTGGCAGTCTGGTAAGAAAAAAAAAAGGATGAAAAACAGATTTATCATCTGCTTTTGTAAGATCAGCAACAGGACCCCCCAAATGCATCTTAGATTAACAACTTCCTTCCCTCCCCAGTGTCCAGATCTGCCTCCTGTCCTTCCTGGTGAAGTGAACACGGGGATGCCTGTGCCTTTCGCTTGATGGTGATAACACATGTGCCTTCCTGACCTCATGTGTCTGACTTTAGACACGGAAGGATCGGTCTTCACTCAACATCTCCCAGTCAGCATCTCCCAGAGCCCTCCTCTTCCATTTCTAGCCTTTGTTGAGGGCACTGACATGGTGAGCAATGAGTTTGCTCTGATTTGGGATCAGGGACTGTATTCACAGGCTTCCAACTTCAACAGGTGCAAAGAGTGAAACATCTTCCCTTTAGTACTGCAGCAGTGCAGCTCAGTAGGGCTGCTAAGTTCTGGTGCAGCTTTTCATGCCTGTTAAAATTTTTATGGAAATAGCATACACCCGTATGTACTGATTTATCCACTCTTGTATCTATCATATATTTCCTCACTGTTTTCTCTTGTTGCACCGTGTTTATATGAAAATATTTTCTACACTGTCTTTAAAAACCTTCAGTATTCTTTTCTATTAGTTCCCTTCTTTCTTTCTCCCATTTTTGTCTTTTGTTCCTTTCCTTTCTCTCTTTTCTTCCTTCCTGTCCTTGCCCCTCCTTTCCCATCTTTGCTCTACCCTCTCTTTTTCCTTTTTTGTTGTTCCAGGATCAAACTCACTGCCGAGGCCAACACACAGTAGGTGCACTCTGCTGGTAGCCTATCACTTCCCTGTGTGTACAAGGTATTCCGTTAAGCGAAGGTTCTGTAACTTACTTAATGACTACACTATAAAAGAATAATACTGCTTCCAATGTTTTCCTAATGCAAAGACTTTCATAGAGAAAAATCTTGTCACATATATTGTTTCCTATGTTAAAGTATATACTTTTAGTAGGAATTCATGCAGTGGTCTTAATGAGTTTGAGTATGTGTTTTTTCATAGGAATTATGAAATTTACCTCCAGAAATATGCATTCCCATCAAAAATATATACAATTGCCTCTTTTAGTCCTACCCAAGGCAGAATTGAACCACACTTTTTGAAGCTTACAAATGTAATAGGTAGAAAACAACATCTTAATGTAGTTCATATTTGAAGGTTTGTCTCTTGCACAAACATTGTATTTATTATTATTTTTCAAAGTTAAAACAGAATATTTTCTTTTATTTTTTGGATGTGTGTAAGGATTGACCTCAAGGTCAATATTTCAGCATTCTTAACATAGACTCTGCCATTGAAGTATAATTCCAGCTTAATTTTTTAAACTTATAAAATGCTTATTGAAATCATTTAAGAATATGTTGCACATTTTCCTTGCCTTCTATGCCTTACCTCAAAGTTCCTCATCGTTTTTACTCTAGCAGACGTTAACTTTGTGCTGTAGTGCCTTGGTGTCTTTGAGGGGTAGTGGTGAATGGGCTCCTTTTGCTATGAGAGAGGTGATGTTCTCAACACTTACTGCATTGCTCTGGCTATTTTTTTTTTTTTTTGCTGATATTTCTTATGCAGGTAACACCTCTTTGGTTTAAGATCTGTTTCCTTATTAATATATTAAGATGTAAAAGATAAGCTTATAAGATATTCTTAAAGGATTCCAAATAAATATAGTCAGTTGCTCCCATTGATCCATAGACTTCCACACTTCAGGTAGACGCAAATGTATGTCAGCTATCAAATCTTCAGAGACTGTAAATTCTGCCATGTTTACATTTTCCTGATGAAGCAACCAAGGTTACCAGTAGTTTTGAAAGTGAAGAGCTAAAGTTCAATGTTCCAATGTCTATGTTAACTTTCCTTCCTTTAGAAGAAAGGGCACGAGTGTTGTCCTTGTGTTGTGATAGTTGTTTGCTTATGGTCCAAAGATCGTTCCCTCTGGGTATGTTTGGCTTTCCAGATGTGGGCTGGGGTCTAAGGTTATGCTCCTGTGACCTCTGGGAGCACAGAGCACAGCTCACATCACCTGACACCCGGTGTGCTTCTGAAGTCAGAAATTGGGGATCTTCATGTGCACTGAAGTCACTAGAATGCCAGGTCAGCAGTTATCGGAGCAATAAAAGTCTGCTTCATTACAGTGTGAATGCTCCCGCTCCCCAAGGTTGCCTTTTCTCACAGGGTTTTATGGGAAGCATGGGACAAGCAGTCTCTTCTGTTTCAGAGTGAGCTCAGGGATTTCAAAGGGCTTGGTATCTGTGGCACCACACACAGGTGGCTGATTTATCGTTTCCTCTCCAGCCCAGCCAGACCTGAAGCTTTTGTACTGTTGCTTCATCACAAGGTACCATGTTCCTGCTTAACCACCCTTAGTGTTCTAAAAATACAAATGTCCAAGGCCCTGAAACATCTTTGTGTTTTGCTTAGACAAATTCTCTCTCTTTTCCTTTCTGTGTAACAAACAGGCTTTGACGTATTCTAACACAATCAACTTTCCCTCCTACATGCTAACATCAAGTGATGGTAATGAGAACCATATGCTCTCCCATGAAAGATTCTGCTTGCTCTCTCTCTTTCTCACTCTCTCTCTCCCCCTCCCTCCTCTTTCTTTCTTTCTTTCTTTCTTTCTTTCTTTCTTTCTTTCTCTTTCTTTCTCTCTCTTTCTTTCTTTCATTTGTGGAGTAGTTGTGGTAATTGTGTGTGTGTGTGTGGTTAGAGGTTGATATTGGAAAGTCATTTTCAATTCTCCACTTTATAAATTTTCAATAAAAAGTGTGTCTGTGCATGTGTGTGGTGTGCAAGTGTGTGCACACATTGTGTAGCGGGGACAACTAGCAAGCATGGATTTTCTCCTGTCATGTGTGCTTTGGGGATTGCACTCAAGTCCTCTGCTCAGCTGCAAATATCGTTATGCAGTGAACTATCTCAGAGACCCTGCTTTGTTTGTATAGATAGAGACTCTCACTGAACCTGGATCTCATGCTTTGACTAGGCTGACTGGCCAGGGAGTCTGGATCCTCCTGCCTCCATTCCCTTGCAGTGATGGAGTCTCTCACTGAACGTGGATCTCATTTTTTTTTAAATATAATTTTTTATTGAAAAAAAAATTTTTCCGCCTCCTCCCCGCCTCCCATTTCCCTCCCAGTCTCCCTTTTCCCCCCTCCTCCCTCTCCTCTCCCCCTCCCTCTCCAGTCTGAGGGGCAGTCAGGGTTCCCTGCCCTGTGGAAAGTCCAAAGTCCTCCCCGCTCCATCCTGGTCTAGGAAGGTGGACATCCAAACTGGCTAGGCTCCCAAAAAGCCAGAACATGAAGTAGGATCAAAACCCAGTGGCATTGTCCTTGGCTTCTCAACAGCCCTCATTGTCCGCCATATTCAGAGAGTCCGGTTTTATCCCATGCTTTTTCAATCGCAGTCCAGCTGGCCTTGGTGAGCTCACAATAGATCACTAGGCTGGCTGGCCAGGGAGTATGGGTCCTCCTACCTCCATTCCCTTGCAGTGGGGTTACAGTGCGAGATACCACAAGCAACTTTTGATGTTGGAACTGGGATCCATACTCGGGTGCTTGTGTTTACCCAGCAAACCCTTGACCTTCTAAGCTGAAGGCCCTGTCTTGAGGTTTCTTAGGCTATTGAATGCAGGGTTAGGAGTGTTCCTGGCATCTTCCTGAAGCAGTCTTCAGTGCTGGCTGGACAGCTTTTATAGACAGTTCTATTTAGAAAATGTGTCAAGAGGTAAGGAGCACTTGAATCACAAAGCCAGGTAATTCCCTAAAGTCCCTGGAGGTCACTCTTCAAGCATTGGAAAGGCTAATTTAGTGGGAGGTGCTTGCTATGTGTCTGCTGTGAAACTTTCTGTAGCATATTATTCTCATTCAATGTGTGTGTGTGTGTGTGTGTGTGTGTGTGTGTTTCTTTAGCAGTTCGGTTTGAAAAATGCAAATGATTTAACTTCCACTCTCAAAATGTCAAGATGCTCATTTTTTAAAGGGAATTGTGATGGATTGAGAATTTTCTTTTTTTCAATTCACATCACTGGTGTTGACTGAGTATCAATGGCTTTTAGGTTTCTGGGTTATTTTAAGACTCCAACAGACATTCGAGCTTGTGATAACTAAACCTTGTAGAAGGGGGGGAGGCAGTGGGCAGAGGGCTCTGGAGAAATTTGTCTTTCCCCAAAGAGCTGAACAAATCAAGACACTTGCTTTTGAAAAGGACCCAGATTTCCTTCCTTCCTTCCCTCTTTTCCTCCTTCTTCTCCCCCACCTCCACCTCTGAGAAGAAAAACAAATCACCAACACTTGACTTCCATGGAATGGAAGCTGGCCAAGCAGTCTGAAAGCTAGTATATAGTCTATACCTGGTTGTTCCAGCTCAGCTCCTTTGGCAGACTGCGTTGTCTGGTTACTGATTGTAAAAAGCCACAGGTTGTCAAATCTCTAGAAGTAACAGTTTAAACTGGTCTAGATTTCATGATTTTCCCTTACTAAATTTACTATAGTCCCTAACTTTACCTGGAAAAAGGCAAAACAAAGCACCTTCATGATATCAAAAGACCACCCAAAGATATTAGGAATCTGAAAAGGTGTCACGGCTCTGCAATGTGATTTATGAATGTTTAGTATGGTTTGGTTTCGCAAAGTATGAGATGTGATTACAAGGTAATGAAATGGGTTTTTGTATGTGGCGTGAGAAATCAGGTTCATTGCTTTGTGTTTAGGTAGTTTGACATGCACGGTTTCAAAAACAGGAACAAGTTGCCCATTGAGTGGCATTGTTACAGTTGGCATTTGATGGTTTATATAAAGGAAAAGGCACTAGTAGTAATTATTTTGGTGCCGGAGAGATTTGGGACAGTCACATGAGATAAACAAATTGATTTGAATGGATTTTACATATCTTAAAATACATAGTTTCAAGAAAACCTATTATGCTGACATATGATTTATTCACCACCCCTCCCCTCACCACTACCTTTTGTTACCTCTCAAATTGGCTCCACGCAGGAAGTAAGTTGAAAGGGCTTTCTTCTGAGAAAGGATGTTGTTTTTAAGAGGTACTGAATGCTCGCTCATGTGCCTGGCCCTTTAAGGTTTTGTTCACTCTAAGACAGCAGTCTCAACCTGTGGGTCATGACCCCTTTGGCAAACCTCTACCTCTAAAATATTTGCGTTATGATTCATAACAGTTGCAAAATTACAGTTATGAAGCAGAAATGAAAATAATGTTATGGTTGGGGCTGCCACAACATGAGGAACTATACTACAGGGTCTCAGTGTTAGGAAAGCTGAAAAACCTCTGCTATAAGAGGTCAAATCACACAGTACAAAGAAATGGGGCCACACACCCCTGCATTTATCCCTCTAGTCTATCTCTCTGTGTCTCTGTCTCTGTCTCTTGTTTCTCTTTCTCTTTCTTAGACTTAAAAAGCTGTGGTTTCGCAGCTTCTGCTTTATGTTCCTACTCCCTGATTCCTCACAGCCTTTGTCACATGGGCTGTGTTGAGCTAAACCCTTTGGCATGCCACTCCCCACCACCCCTGAAAGGATAGAAAGGTCAGATATTCCCCTTTGGAAGAGTTCTCTGAAGACAACTTCTCTTTTCTTCCCTCCTGTCCATTATCTTGTCCATTAGCCCACCCATGCTAATAGCTCCCTGTCTTATTTTTACTTTAAGGTAAAAAATACCTTGTTGAAGCTCATCTCTAGGCTTCCAGGGGCATTTCTCCTGAAGACCCCTCATATTGTTTTCCATATTATTTATGTGTCTTTCTAATGCTCTCCCACTTCAATCAATAGTAATGGATCCCATGGTCTAGAAGCCCTAATTTTGTACCATCTCTTTTCTTGAACTAACCCATCTACTCTATCTATCTATCTATCTATCTATCTATCTATCTATCTATCTATCTATCATCTATCTATCTATCATCTATCTATCTATCTGTAAAGTTGTGGAAGAATGGAGCATTGTGTGCCTAGCTCTTGCTTCCTCTCCCGGCTTCCATCCCTTTCTCAACAGACCCTCAGAGGGGCTCTTCTCACTCTTCTCTGACCCAGCTCTCAGGAAGAAAGTGCTGATGCTCATGAGTTTACCTTTAGTTCATACTTCATCAGGCATGTATGTTTGTGCTCTTTAACTTTGAGTTCTCATCTATCATGGTGGTCTTTTAGAGACAGCGACTTTAAGTGGATAGTAATCTTTTGCTTGGCTATGTGTTCGTGGACAGGTGTTCATACACCAATTCTTCTCAGTTTATGATGGATAATGTCTCCTAAATTGCACTTGCAATCCCTAGCCCAGTTGAACATCATTGTTCAGCCTGTTCTACCTTAAAAACCACGCTGGCCCACATTAGCTGAGCAAAAACTCATTTAGTAGAAGGCTATGCTATAAAAAGTTGAGTATCAAGCAATTTATTGCATGTGGTATAGAAGCAAAAGACACCGAGAGCTTTTTACATTATTTTAAAGTTAAAACTCTCTAGTTAACAGTCATAAGTCAGGGAATGTCTAAATATGTTTGTTGTGAGGGAAATGCTTCAGTTTTATTTCCTTAAGGAGGCATAATTGATGGAGTTGGGACAACCTGGGAAAGAAGAAAGAAGGGAGGGTAAAGGAAGAGGGACTGAAAGAAACACAGTGATGGTAATGCATCCCTTTGAACCCACACGCTAATAAAACTGTTTTGAAGGCTGGGAGTGGGAAAATTGCAGGCAAGTTTTGTTTGTAGAGAAGAATTTTCATGACTCAGGAATTACAGTGAAGTGAACACATCTGAAATTAATTGGAAAGATCTTCATTGTTGCCTGATTTGTTAATGGATACTGTCTTACTCAGCTTGTGCTGATGGCACCAAATGCCTGAGACTGATTAAATTATAAAGAACATAAATTTACTTGCCCACAGCTCTAGAGACTGGGAAGTCAAAGATCAATACACTGGCAGGTTCAGTTGCTTGACGAGGGCTGCATCATCCCAAGGGAGCTGGGGTTGTGGCGGTAGGAAGGGGAATGTCATGACCTCAGGAAATAGCCTTCCAAAGAGCAAGCCAGGCACACTTCTTTTTTTTTTCTTTTTTTTCACACTTCTTTTTAAACACTTGCACAAGGCACCTCATCTCAATCATAGAAACTGAAACCTCCAGGACCAAATTTCCTTTTATCAATCTCACACCCTACTACTATCTAATATTATGCTTTCTTTTCTTTAAGTATATTTTTATCCAGCATTAACAAGACAAACTAGTAAAGCTCACAAACACAAATCTTATTGGTGATGCTGACTACTTTGAAATTAAGGACCTTGAATTCATTTCTGTGTTTTATGTCCCAACTTGCAAGCAATCTAAAGGTTGAAAATTTGAAAAGAATATCAAAATTGTACATATGCAACTTAATTTCCTTCTTATTCCTTCATTTTATTTCCTTTAAAATATTTTACAACCATCTTTATGTAGCTAGACATTTTATCATATGTTTAGAGTTTTCCTAACCAAACACATTAATTAGACAAACTATTTGTTGAAGACGTGTGTAATTCAGTATCTAAATCCATTGTGTCCAACACTTTGGTTTTTAAGACACATCTTTAAACCATAGTAAACGTGAAGTCTCTGTTAAATCCCAAGGACAAAAGCAAGACTTAATTTTTGCTAATTTTAATAGAAATAGGAGGGTTTGCAGAATCTTTGAGGTGACCTGAAAATCAGACGTTTAGGAATTCTCTTGACTCCAGAGCCTGCTGGACAAGGACTTAGGAGTCCACAAAGAATTTCTGAGTCGAGGCCAGAGACTGCACCTCTCTGATCCCTGTCTAGCATGAAAGGGCTCTGTCTTGTGCTTCAGACACTCACTGGGAAAAGAAAGCTCAGATGCAGTTTTCTTCTTCCAAACCCAGTCTTATTAGGTGAGTCGGATTGGTTTACTCAACACGACCTGCCTGAGCTTGTTAATCTCAATCTTGCTTTCTATTTTAGGAATGAAGAATCAGAAGGGGAAAACGTCATGAATTTAAAGAGGAATTTGTAACTGGCTGCTTCAAATATGACGTCCATATAACAAAGTTATGTCTAGCTCTCCTAATACATAATGGGACTGCCAAAAAGGAGTGCTTAGTATTGTCTTAATTAGTTTTCTATTGATAAAGCACCATGAGCAAAAGCAATTGGGGCGAAAAGGGTTTATGTCATCCTACAACTATTCTCAGGTCACTGTAGCAGGCTTTCTCAGCTCACCAGGCCCCAAATCATGACAGGGAGACTTAATATTAGTTATGAATGCTTGGCCTTAGTTTATCCTTGTCCAACAAGCTCTTATAACTTGTTTTCATTCATCAACACTTTGCCTTGGGGCTTTTTTTCACCTTTCTTTCATTCTGCATGTCTTTCCTCCATGTCTGGCTGGCTGCTGCTTAGCTGTCACCTGCCTCCCCCCTCCCCATGTGTCCTTCTCTTTCTCCATTGTTCTCTCTCTCTCTCTCTCTCTCTCTCTCTCTCTCTCTCTCTCTCTCTCACCTGTATTCCTCCTCCTACTTACTCTTTCTGCCAGACAGCCCCACCTATCCCTTCTCTGCCTAGACTGGCTATTTAGCTTTTAATTAGGCCAATCAGGTGCCTTAGGCAGGTAAGGTGAAACAGCACAACTTTACGTAGTTAAACAAATGCAGCATAAACAAAAGTAACACATCTTTACACAGTTAAACAAATGCAGCATCAACACCTTTACAAAGTTAGAGTAATACTCCACAATAGGTCACACTTGAAGGGAGATCAGGATCTCAAGGAGGGAGCTTGAATGCACGAAGTGAAATGGAAACCATAGAGGAACACTGCTTACCAGCTTGCTCTCCAAGACCTGTTCAGCTGTCTTATATAACTCCATACTATGTACCCAAGGGAAACTGGGCCTTCTCTCATCAGTCATTAATTTAGGAAATGCCTGTAGACTAACTTATAGGACTATCTTTGAAAAAGTTTTGAGATTATAATTTAGTTCCAACATTTCTCACCTCCTCCCAAACCTACCCTTATATATCTTCCAACTCTCTTTCAGATTCATGGCCCTCTTTCATTCACTGTTATTATATACATATTCTAAATATAGCCTGTCTAATCTGTATGATATTTCTTGTGTGTTTGTTTTCCCCAGGGAAGACTCCTTCTTCTCGGAGTTTTTCTCAGTTGCCTGGCACAGGCCAGTCTTAGGGAGACATCTTCTCAACTGTGAGTTCCTTTTCTCAGATGACCTTAATTTGTGACAAATTGACAGAAAACAAATTATCACAACTATTGTTTCCATGAATATTATTAAAAAGTATGGAAAATGTTTTACTCTTAATATGTACATATTAGCTTTATTATGTTTTTGAAGGTAATGTCAATTCCAAAGAGCATATATGCCACTCTGGGTAATCTCTGAGCAGAAACTGTCAGAAGACACATTGATCACATTATCCTTCTAGCTTCTCTCCTACATTCCCATTTTCCTCTGGAAACTGGGACTCTGACCTACATCTAAGTAGGCTTCTTTAGCCACTTGCTGGAGGTGGACTCTGCCAGCACGAAACACCAGCTGGAGAGCAGAAAGAGGAAGCAGAGTGAGGCCGGCTGTTTACTCCCCAGGCCCTTTCCCGGCAGGACCATGGACTTCAGGTTGGCAGCAGCCCTTGACCAAAAGTCACAGGTGCTGTCAGAAGGGACAAAGCAGTGAGTGTTGGGAAAGAGCACTGTACTCAATGTCATTTGAAATGTTTTCTGGATGTGTGACAGAACGGTGTATTTTTTTTTTTAGCTGGGTTTCCTCATTCGAAGTTTTCCTCACCCTGTGATACTGTCTCAGCGGCCCTTTGGGTCTGAGGGGCAAACAGTGCAGCTCTGTGATGCAGCCCCATCTTCTGCAAGTTCTTCACAGTCCCACCAGTGACCCATTCATTAAATTCCCCCCAGCTCTAGAGTGTGAGAATGCCACTGTTCTATGTGGACTTGGTGTGATACCCCAGGAGTGTTTTTAAAACCTATTATAGGACACAGCAATATCTGCTCAGCATTAACAAGCTGTATGCACTTAGTACTTTAAAAAGTAATATAGATTAATTTTAAAATTTATATACTTGGAGGGGTAATGTGTGCAATAGAAGCTCACTCTCAATAATTAACTAATTTAATGACCATTTATCTTGCATCTTCAACATCCTTCCCTCTTAGCCAAACTTTCAAAATATGAGATGAATGTGACTTGGGTCTAGCTTTAAGCTTTAAGGGGTAAGGCTTAAGTAGAAATTTTTGTTATAACAGCAACTCCCAGATAGATGATAGCTATTGGAATGGAAATGATGACAAAACTAACTAGATGGTTCTGGCAAACGAAAGGAAAATATGCAAACGCTGTCTAAAATTTGTTGCTTTGGGGGTGTTATTTTGAATTGCATAATACAATTTTTCAGGCATTATTTAGAATTTATAGTTTTTTTTGAAATATAAAAATGTTGAGAATTTTCTCCTAGCAAGCCAGTTTTTGTAAAAACATAGTAAAAGTTAATTGCTATTGATGTTAAAACGCCAGGGGTAAAATAAAGATCATTCACTTAAAAACTAATTCCCCTCTAGATGTTTACATGTATATCTAGTAGTAGGTGAAAAAGAGAGGATGGGGGAGGGGACTCTTAAAATTTACCTCTTTATTAAGAGGGCACACTGCTTTTGTAGAGGGCCTGAGTTGGGCTCCCAGCACCCATGTCAGGAGGTTCACAATCACCTGTTACCCCAGCTCCAGGGGATCTGGTGCCCTCCATGTGGGTGTGTATGTGTGTATGTGTGTGCACACACATCTACCCTCATAAAATGAGCAGATAATGTAAAAAAAATAGTCACTGTTATTCAAATATACTATATACATTAACATAGAAAAAAATTTCAATACCCTGACTTTTACAACATGAAAAAAAAATTTACCTCTTTATTTTACAGTGCGGATATTATTTTTGACTCTCCCCATAAAGAAATATAACAAGGACACTCTTCCTGTCTCATGCCGATATAGGTGTACAGTAAAAGAATATGTAAAGGCTTCCACCAAAATGACCATTTTATGTAATTATCAAGCAAGTCTAATGCAATACTGATGCAAAGTCATAAAAGCCTTCCTAATTATTCTATTTTTATTACCAAAATTTTAGTTTAATAGGCGTTTTATGAAATATTTTCATATCCTGTAAATTCTTTCTGCCTCCGAGGCTCTCCACCCATTTTGTCAATGGCAGTTCTCCCTCTGGGAGGAGGGCGGATACCAAGAGAAACAAAGAGGGCATTGATCAGCCCTGACTTCCAAAGCCAACTTAGAAAAAAAATGTTCCTAGTAGGAGCGAAGCTTTTTCCAGAGTGAGTTTTTTTTTAAATGTTGGTAAGGGGAGGATGAAAGAAGGGAAGGAGAGAGAGAGAGAGAGAGAGAGAGAGAGAGAGAGAGAGAGAGAGAGAGAGGGAGCTTTCTTATCTAAATACCAAAAACACACATCAGAAATTGGTCCTTAAATTGTGAAGAGGCAGAGAGTAACAGAGACCAAGGTAAAAGTGTGTGTGTGTGTGTGTATGTGTGTGTGTGTGTGTGTCCTGCTTTTACCTCAAGGCTAAAGTCTTGGGGTGTGGCACCAAGCACTGCTAGGTGTGGCAGTCAAAGGCTGTTAAGAAACTTCAGACTTCTGCAGTAGTAATGCTTGCTCTTGCCAGCTCTGGGCATTGCCCAGGGGCTATGTTCAGCCCATGAGGGCACACTCTAGGCCAGTGCTACCCACAGGTACAGGCCTGACACCCCCCTGCCATCCTGTTGTAAGATTATTTAACCCACACAGCGAGATGTTCTGAAATGGACAATCAGCTTCTAGTCATTTCTAGAGCAACTCGATAGGCCAGACTCAACCTCTTTGAATCCGTATGCTTTGAGAAAGAGGGGGTTGTACTGTGTATTATTTTGGTCTTTCTAGTAATTGGCTTTTACTGTGTTTTTATAAAATTTTGTAAAAAATATTGCTGCAATGAATTTGTAGGAGAGAAGATTCAACATAAACTACCCGAGGAATGAGGTTCTGAAGAATATATTCCAAATGGCCTGCCGAGGGATCAGACCTGGTAGGTCTCAGAAACCTGGGACAAAGGCTAACTGAGGTGCCTTTAACTTACCAAAGTGGAGGTGGGCAGCTTTCCCAGCCTCCCTCAGTACCCATGGCTCCACCCAGTTCTCTCAGCATCATCACTCTGCTGACTGCTCCTCCCAGCATTCCTTGTGCTGCCCATTAACCTAAATCTCTTCTCCCCAGGGCCTGGGTTTCCACTTCCCTTCCCCCAGCCTGATCCCTATGTAACATAGCCTTTCTTAGTTGGTCATGTCTCTGTCTTTCAACATACACCTCTGGCTCATTCACCATGAGAGGGATCACCAGTCTATGTATGTGTGACAAGCTGGAGACATGCGATGTTCTAGGATGGAGCACTCATGAACTAGCAATGTGCCCAAGTCAGAAGGACCCCTGTCGCAGTCTGGACGACCCAAGCCAGTGCTAGAGGACAGAGTTACTGGCTGAAAGGACATGGCAGACACTCAGGCCTACAGTTCTTAGGACAACCAAGGTGCAGTGGAACCAGTACGAAAGCCCATGAAACTTCTTCAACAGTGCAAGTTTATATAGGACGGATAACCGGGGACTGCCAGCCTGACGTCATACTAGGTAGAGGTCAGTGAGGACAAGCGGCAGTCTGTTCCTGAGGCTTGGGTATGACTCCAAGATGCCTCTTTTTCTGCACCTCATATTCATTGAAAGTTCTCCATAATTCTAAGAACCAACGTGGGAATACAGGTGAAGAAAAATGGAAAAGGCTGGATTTGCTCCAGAACCAAAGAAATTGCATAAACCATTCCCTGGCTATGCTGTCCGCCATTACTCACAAGTGTGGGTGCTTGAAGGCAAAATTAGATTAAATGTACAAACTACAGAAAGTACATTTTCTTTGACTATTACCAGGCAGGGCATACATTGTTGACCCTGACACATTGGCAATAAATTGTGACAATGAACATCATGCCTGGCATGCAGAATGAGGCTTTCTCAAGTCGTGAAGGGAACTTGTGCAATGTTACATTTCTTAAAGGGGCCAGCAAGCAGAATTGGCTTGTGTCAGAGCTGTATAGGATCTCTTCACCAGGGTACAGCCCCTACAGTCTAATGGAGGAGTCAGTTGATGGCAAAGTCCTGAGCAAGTGGACAGGCAGAAGCACTTTTTGGTGGTCCTCTGAGCCATTTAACTAAGACATCAAGGGTTCCTATAAAAACCCTTAGTATATACGTCTGTGAGCAACTGTAGCAGGCTCAGTAGCTCACGAAACCATTCCTTTAGTCTGTAGCTTATGCTCACTCTATGAAGACTAGATATTTGTTCCTATCTCCTGAGGGAAAGTCACACTTGTTAAGTGTTATGAGATAGATTGAAGGCTAAATAATTGGTCTGGTTTCTGGTTTAGATAGACTGTTTGGAAGGTTTTGTATTAGTTTGGTAGAAGGAAGGGTAGGGAAATAGTAGATAAAGGAATGGAGGACATGCTTGTGAAAGACTGGGTAGGGGAACTGGTAGTGGGAACCATCTGTGTCCAGAGCAGACTCACTAAAGTCTCTTTAGTGGGAAAAGAAAGAAAAGACGATGACTCATGCAAATTGGACATTGGAACGCTCATGATGAGTTAGCCTGATAGATGCAGGACACATTCACTATCAGAGAAATGTTCCCGTTCTCACTGTGGACATGGCTTTTCTCGCTCCCTCTTGGTGTTCCAGCACTATCTTGTTGGTTGTCCTGCATCTTGGATGATCTGTCATTTATTGCCATTGTCCTCACTGAGCTGGGCTCTCCTAGACTGGCCGTTCTTGTGGTCTCATTAGAGTTTGGGAGCTCAAAGGAGTAGCTCATGCATTTCGGACTTCATTTTCTTTCTAGAAACGTCATAGCAGCTAACATGCTCCTGTTGCATGTAGTAGGAAAGATAGACTTATATGACCCAGTGTTTTTTTGAGTAGGTGGGCCCTCTCACTGCATTCAAATCCTACCGAGAGAAAGCTGCATCCCTAAGACTTGAAATTGGCTTTAATGATTATGAGATGGTTTATCAGTCAAACAACGATCCAATTAGAACAGCTAGGTAGGATGCTAGGAGCTAAGTGTTCCGAAGCCTTTGTCTTTTGCTTCGTCTGTCAATCCTATTTCATACTGGCCATTGGTTATCTATTGTTTCACCAGTGTTTTCAGTAGACAACTATTTGGAGAGAATTGACCAAGGAGTTCCATATGCAGATTCTGCCTCCTAAACTATTATTTGGGAAACGATGTCTACTTAGTGTCTCACTCAGTCTGCCATGGTCCTACGAGGAACTCACTCATCTGCAGGTGTGCTGCTGGCACGTCTAATCTGGCTATCTGCCTTAGGCATGGGTTTTAAAGTGTCAGGATGTAGAATGTCTTTCTAAATGAAGCTGGTACTTCTCCTCCTTCCCCTTTACTTTCTCATCCCAGGCTTAGAGTAAATCTCTTTAGAGTTTCTCAGACCAACTTGTTGGTTAAGCAAATGGAAAATTCCTGTCGGTGTATTCTTGCGGCGCCTTCTGCACATTCTGAAGGCGACACCTCTAATTTCTTCCTGACATACTGCTTTTTCAAACCTATGCTCTCAGTTTGCACATCCCTGGATCCAATGGTGCGTTTGAATTCTTGTGACTGGTTTGTACCTCATTTCACTTGTGCGGGAAGCAGATAAATGCAGAGATGTGATTCAGGGGGACCCAAGAGTGGAGAAAGCCAGGCTCCTCTGGCTCCTCTCAGATGGCTCCAATTGCTCGTGTGACAGCCTTTGCCAAACACAGCATTAATTTTAACCGTAGAAACTTGGCAAGTCAGACGATTCAGCTTGATGTTGCAGTTCAGCAGTGGGAACTATTAGTTTTGGATCTGATTTTAAGTGGTCTCTGAATACTGGTTACAGACAGAAAGGGCTTCCTGAAGCCAAGTCATATGGTGGCCCTATGTTTCCTTATCTGCTTTCGGCCAGGCTACCTGGGACCAGAACATGTGCTCCTCCACCATCGCCTGTCTAATCGTGGTGGAGGCAGCCTGCCAGCTCTGCTGCTTGTGAATTCCATTGGCTGTCACTCCTTACCCTTCTGACTGCTCCTCTCCTCCTTGCTCCTCTTTCTCCTCTCCCTCTTCCTTCTTCCCCCACTTCCTATTCTTCTTGTCTTTTCATTTTTTTTCCTTTCTTGTCTTTTTTTAATCTCCAAATTTGCACATGTACATTATTGAAAAAAAAAAAGCAAGAGAAGTAAAAAGGATGAGGATGAGTTGGTGGGGGCTGGGGAGGAGACAGAGGCTAGAAGCAGAAGAAGAGGAATTTGAGTCCTATGAAAGAGCACAAAAGTTTCCTTTGCTTCTATTATGCAAATATAACCCCTTAATAGCATGAAACCTTTCCTTTCAAACAGGTCTGTGAGTGCACATGTGTGTCTATGTATGTGCGTGTATCCA